CAGTGAAGCAGCGTCCTCCACAACTAGACTGAAGAACAAAAGGACAGCAACTTGTCTGTTCCCCTTCCCCGATTCCCCAATGCTGTTCCCCTCCTCCAATTCCCCAATAAAATCTTTTTTAAAAAATGAGAAGTAATGCTTTCATATAGAACAGCTTTATAGACCCAAACAGTGAAATGGGTCTGATTATCCAGGTTAAAAATACATTTAAAATTTTTTTAAAATATATATGCATATAAATAAATATATAATTTATATATATATATATATATATATATATATATCAATATTTTGGTATTTTGAGAGACATGAAGTTAAATGAAACATCAATGAATGTTATATTTATATATATATTTATATATAAATATTGGTAAAACTTTGTAGACTCTGCATTTTATTTTAAAAGTCAGCAAAAGCAGGAGCTAATAGCTTAACCTACACATTTAATGCTCAGTTATTATAAGATCAAGCTAAAACTTAGTACCAGAGCGAGGCCAGGGTGGATGACAGAGACTGTGTAGTGACAGGAGTTGTCAGGAAGGCCACAGGACTGCTTCAGTTGTGGTGGGCATGACAGAAAATCTCCCCACACTGGGAGACACACTTCAGTGGTGGGGACGACAGAAGAACTAAAAATCTCCACACACTGGGGGAGATACTGCAAGCCAGCCTTTAGTTCAAGGTATCCAGTGGTGCAGACTCTTATACCTATATTGCTTAATTAAAATAAGTCAAGGACGTTTCATAAATGAAAGACGCTTAATGTAGATTAAAACAAAAACAAAACCACACCAATTTCCCAAAGATGTTCAATTAAATAAAAATGTAACTTTGATTTGTATTTCTGATTTGATTCCTTCCTGCCCTTTAAAGTTATTCCCTAAAGAGAACAGTGTTTTCTCATTATCTGAACAATAGATCATATCCTTAAAGATCACTATAGTTTTCTCTTCTTCTGACAATGAGGTTTGACCCTTTAGCTGTTTTTGCTTTCTAGTCTATTAATTTTTCTCAGATGTATCTCCTAGTACCCCTAGTTTATAATAAGTTAGAGTGGGGTAGGGAGGACAGGGAGCCTGACCAGCACTGAATAAATGAACATTCCTATGTATTTCTTTCAAATAACTATCACACTCAATCATTTTTCCTCACAATAATTTGTAAGTAAATCTGAGTCCATGCTCCAAAATTCTAATGTCAACAAAATGGGGACCTTTGCCTATGTGGTTACATGAGGTAAAATCTAAGCCATGATTTTCCTGAACCAGTTATGCTAAAAAATGCGTCTGCCACAGACTGGTAGAAATGGATCATTGATTCAATAACGTTATTGAATGCCCACCACATACAAGACACCATGCTGAGTGCTATGTAAAACTTAAAGATGTAGGAAGATTCACTGGAAATAATATGAAGAAATAAAAGGCTAGAAGATATTATCAGCAGAATAAGTTATATTATACAAAACACTATATCTAATCATTCTCCTAATACCCATGTAAGGATTTCTCCAAAATACCTTTTTACACTACAGACCAACCTGAAAAAGAAAGGAGAAATGCGTGCCAAATTAAGACCATAATGATGAGTAATAAAAGAGACTACCTTGCCTGCTCCAGTCGATCCAGCAACTGCCAACAACTGTCCTCTTTCTATCTTGAAATTGATATCTTTCAGGACAGGAGTACCAAGAATTGAGAAGTTACTAAAGAAGAGGCTGTTATCACCATTGGGAATGTTTCCATTATTATTGTTTTGTTTTGCATTTTCAAATAATTCCCCAAACCCCTGTAAAAAAAATAATAAAGGGTGTTTTTCAGATATTTTCAATAGCTATTTATTTTATGTAAAATTAGTTTGAAAAGCACACAGCCTATGATTCATACATTATAGCACATAATTATATAGCCCATGATTTCTAGAGCACAGAATCCAAAATATTTGAAAATTATAATTATAGCCAAAGCTGATAAAGTGAATGTTTTTCAGAAAAGGATTTAGCACAAGGAAAAAGGAGATGAGAGTGCTGCTGGGAGAAGAATTGAAATGATTGGTCCAGGAATAAGTGGAGATTAGACCGGGAGGGGTCCAAATGGGACAATTAAAGAGATTAGAAATCTTGATGAAATTGAGCAGCAGTAAAAATGGGATTAAGGGACTAAACTGGAAATTCTGGGCTGAGAAAGAGATTTCAGTGTGACATAATCACCGAAGTGGAGTAAGCCTGGGTGCCCACAAAGCTCAGGGTGTGACTGTGAGAGGAAACTTCTGAGGAAGTCCCATAAGATGTAAGTTCAAAGGATGGCATTGGAAGGGCTGCTTGTGTGAATGCTGAAGTCTTAGACACGATGGCAGACGGTTAACAAGCACCACCATCCTGAGTGTCATAAGGGAGTGTCTGGAGTTTGACAGGTGACAGTCAAAGGCTGGAGGGTGAGGATGCAGCCAGACAGGAGTCAACAGTTCAGGGAAAGGGTTGTAGATTGTGACATTTGGGTCCAAACCAGGCTTCAGGTCTTGCCAATTGGGTGAGCTGAGCCAGGTCCCTTAAGCTTTCTAAGCCTCCATTTCTTTATCAGTGAAATGGAAATAGTAATATTACATAAGTCATAATGTTCAGAGAATCAAATGAGACAACACGTACAAAGTGCTTCTCCTAGTGCCTGGCACTTAACGGCTCCAGCACACTACTTATTTTATTAGGTGGGAGGAGAGGGAAATAGAGGAATTTTGGGTCAGAGCAGGAAGACATCTGTCTGAAAATAGTAGTGAAAACATCAAACATATTCTTTCTTCATGCCTAGAAGGGCATTTGAAATTCCTAAAAGCAAAGAAATAAAATCAAACTGATCCACACACTTTGCCACAAACCATTTTTCTAGGCAGATAAAGAATTATTCTCTTACCTGTACCTTAAAAAAATGAAGTAAAGTGAAGCCCTAGTGATCAAGTTACTTATATAAATAAAACCAATTTAAGATATTGTGCAATATGTAGAAATAGGACACTGGTTTCATAACTACCTTTACTCAACAGATATAAATGATAAGGAAACAGGAACTCAACAGGTGTTCTCAATAATCAAATGTTGCTTCGTTAGAGGCTAAAATCACTGACTATATTTTCTGATTTTGAGAAATATGATAATTTAAAAATAATGAATGAAAATAAGTAAAAATCATAGAAAACCATACATGGGTAGACCTCTCATACATCTTTCTGTTGACTAGTACATGTAAAACACACTGGACTGGAACTTGAGATCAGAGAAGGTAGCGTTTACTGAGGAACTATTTTGTGCACAGTACTCTGTTGAACACTTAACATTAAGTTATCTCAGTCAATCTCACCACAAATTTACAAGGTAAATATTAATAGTCCCATTTTACAGATGGAGTACCAGAGGCTGCACAAAGTTCAATGACTTGATCTAGATTACACAGAGAGTAAACCCAGACCCAGGGTTCAAACCCAGATCTATCTGGATCCCAAACCAACAGGTTTGTATTACTTACTAATCTGTTATGTGAAACAAGTTATATGACTTAGACAAAAAGTGAAGAGGCTCCTATACTGTCTTTAATATTCCCAGGCCTCCACTTCTTAACCTATAAAATAAGTGGAGTCGGTCACCTTCCAGCCTACCAGTTCTAACATCAGTCTAACTTCATTGTCTGTTAGTATGACAACCAGAATCACAAAGAAAATGTGTAAGTATTTAGAACAAATAAGTGAAAAATAATTCTGACCTCTTCCCAGAAGGCTGTTACATTTTCCATCACTACCTCTGTGGTTGTTAAGTTATATTCCAATGTCTTATACTCTTGCTTTTGTAAGAAATCCTGTTCATAAAAAGAGCAAAAACATTATAGAACTAGAACAGCATTAATGCATCATTGCATCTATTTTAAACTCTAATAATACTGTATCTTGCATTTAGATTTTAAGAATTATGTAAGAAATTATTTCTTAGTAAAATAATTTTATAAGCTTCTAAAGTTAGTTTGCCAAGCACTAGGATTCATCATATGTGAAATATACTCTTTAAATGTGTGATATTATATAAAACTTTTTTACACATTAGATTTTCAATTTACCACTGATTCTTCCTTGTACTAGTACATGTTAACCTTGCTGATGAATGTATAAAGTGGCCCTCAATTAACCAGCAGTGTGTCTCAGTTAACAATTAGGACAGAGAGAAAATTAACGTCTTCATCTTTACAGCACCCCCCTTATTAGAGGCATCATTAGCATCACTTCTCTGGGTTAAGTGAAGGTGTGAAGACTGGATGTAACTGATTTTAAGGCATTAAACCTTGATTCTAAAAGAAGAGCCCTGTTAGAAATTCTGATTCACAGTGTTCTGCGGAAAGTGGGAGCATAAAGAAGAATTCATTTCATGCATCCTGAAGTCTTTACTATAGGAAGTCACGGAAAAAGCCTGATCCTTGCCTCACTCTTTCTCCTTTTTCTTTCACTTCTCCTTCTTGCTACCTCTATTTTGCTTTCTCTTTTTCTCCCAATTTTGTTTTCAAGATGTGTTTCTCTAGCTCTGTGTTCCTGTTCAGTGCCTCTCTTGGTCTCTGTGATGCTCTCATTTTAGGTCTGTATGTCTGTTCTTTCTCTCTCTCTCTCTCTCTCTCTCCTCTTCTCTTCTCTCTCTGTCTCTGTCTCTGTCTCTGTCTCTCTCTCTCTCTCTCACACACACACACACACACACACACACACAGCTGTGATGGGTTAACAGAACAAATATGATTAGTACAAGACCTGCTATGGTTCTGAGCTACACACACCTATTTGTTTAAATTTAGGATCTCAAACTCACATACTTTTAAGATGATAAAATTAAGGAAGACGCTGAGTAGAGAATGGTGAATGGANTCTCTCTCTCACACACACACACACACACACACAGCTGTGATGGGTTAACAGAACAAATATGATTAGTACAAGACCTGCTATGGTTCCGAGCTACACACACCTATTTGTTTAAATTGAGGATCTCAAACTCACATACTTTTAAGATGATAAAATTAAGGAAGACGCTGAGTAGAGAATGGTGAATGGAGGGGCAGGCTGTCTTTGGTGAGGGGGCTGCCACAATTGATAGGGAAGAGGTCCCAGTTTACCATACATTCCAATCCTTCAAATGGGACTGAAGACAATTGATTGCACATGTGATATCTGTCTATTTTTAAATGTGGCAACTAATTCAAATGTTTTTTAAATGTGAAGGTCAAATAAAAGAGGTTTAGGGGTCAAAATTAGGTCCATGGGCCACCATCTGCAAACTCTGGCCTAGGTTAAACAATGGCAGAACCACTTAAAAGTGACTCACCTTCACCATCATTATTATTTATGTCACAGTGATTTATTTGCATGGTCAAATATTTAAATGTCATAAAAAAGTATAACAAAACATTTTGATCTGTATATTAATTATAAAATTGATAACCACACACAAGTTCCTAGTAGTGATTCAATTAGCTGTGTATAAATTGAGCCTCATTACCTGAGGACTTTAGAATTTTTCTACAAAGCAACCAGCTACATCAGCATTGCTGGTAATTAATGTGGCATAAAATGCCCTTCTCATTCATCATACTGTCCAAGGAAACACTTGGAAAATAAGGCGAACATTCCTAGTGGGAGCGGGAATGTTTTATAACTTCCTGGTGAGTCTGTCACCATCTTTGTGCACATCTGCCAAGTTCATTAAAGTTAATCTATGGATTGATTACTTGAATAAAATTATCAGAATACAGAAACACTATTTTCTGCAACTTCTTTGACTTAAGAGAATCTCACAGGCCTTCATTTTATTTCACTTGCTTTCACTACAAGGGCTCGTTAGACCACATGCAGACATCAAGAGAGGAAACCCCGGGCATCAAAAAGGCCCAGCACCAAGACTTACTCTCCAGCCAGTTTGTCCACTAGAAAAGTTCTAAGCTGTTCCAAAATTATTATATATAATACCCACTTAGGATGCATTACCTGTATTTTATTTATTGCTCCAACAGAGTCATACCATGTTTGTACAGCCCAGGGGAATTGCCGAGTGACTGCCATGCGCAGAACGATGCAGAACGAGATGGTTGTGAATATTTTTCGAAGGATGATTCCTTTGATCAGTGCATAGGGAAGAACAGATAAAAACACCACAAAGAACCCTGAGAAGAAGAAGGCCGAGCTGTTGAAGTATCTCACATAGGCTGCTTTCCGGGTCAGTTTCAGTTCTGTTCTGTAAAAAAATAATAAGATTTGGGATGCTTATTTATTTTTCAAATAGGAGGCATCTTGCAATCTAAACATAGGCTCTCAAGACTTTGTGACCTTGGGCAAGTTATTTAACCTCTCTGGGCCTCAGTGCCCTTATCTGAAAAAAGAATAGTAATGAATGTACCAGTGTCTTGCACATAATGCCTGTAAATACTATTTTAAACTATAATTAATAAGCTCAATTAGTATCACATTATTTTTATGTATTGATCACTTCATTATTAATTAGTAAGATTAGTGAGACTTTGATAATTTTTTGTTCATTGTTTGGTGTTTTAAATGATTAAGTATGGAAATGAGGACAAAGTTGCAAGGTTTATAAAGGAAAAGACAATTCTATGATTCCCTAATGGCTTCTTAACACTTTAGAAACTGTAGCTTGGCTTTGGGGAACACTGAAAATAACATATGAGCCACAGAGGAGTGGTTCTCAACCCTTAGCATAAGTAAAAATCACCTGAAACACTTGTTAAAGTGCAGAGTCTCAGGCCCAGCTCTCAGAGTCACTGACTAAGTGAGTCTGCAGCAGGCTTCCAAAAAAAACCAACAAAATGCCCACGTGATGCTGTTGCAGGTGGCTCTTGAAAAATCATGAACATACATGCTGCATCCTCTTTGTCTCGCTCATTTCAGCATAATGATTTGCAACCATATTGCACTCTGAGCTTCTACTCTGAACTGCAAATGTGAACTATTTTTTTAAATAAATGTAGAAGAGGTTTAAATGCTCCAACAAGGCAGCAAACAGGGAGTGCAGAGGCTGGTGAGAGCAGAGGACAATGCTACTTTCAACATCCATTCCACTCTTCCGGGGCCATAAAAACTGAATCACCTGGGACCTTCCTGTTCAGCTCTTGTAAGGGAAAGAGCAGTGGTGACACAGACAAGTGGGGGGGAGGGGGTCCTGGTGGGAGGGAGCAACAGCTGAGCCTGGCCTGACATTTGGATTCTATTTCCATACACTTCTATAACTCAAAAAAGTTCTTATTCTAAGTGGTAGAATTCAGAAGAAATCTTTTAATTTTTTAAATCTGAAAAACAATGTAATCTTGAACATTCTGATGAAGAAAATGGAGTTCAATGTGTCTAACCTGAATTGTTGCACACTCTAACGCTTACTTATATCAATGATTGGGCTCTGAATTTGTGATTTGTGATTTGGGGATCTCCATGGGGTTCACTCCTGCCTGTGCCACTTACAGCCCTTCCATCTTAAGCAAGTTGCTCTTCCCTCTGATCCTACAGAATCCACATGCATAGAAGGGAAACGAACATCTTCCTTGTGGAGCTGTTGCCAAGATAAATGACAGCACAGCAGACAGCCTGGCACTTAGACCTTACTATGTGTGCCTTTAATCTTCATCAGTAAGACTAATATTGGCTATGTGGAGGCTAAGAAAATGCTAGAACACACTGTTTACAAAAATGTTAATAAATTTGTCTAATTGTTGTTGAAATGTATTAGAAACAGTTGAGGAAATTGGAAGGTGTGGTGCTCCAAGAAAAGAATAAGGGATTCAAGAACATTTATAAGAATCACCAAGAAAGCAGTACTCTCCATAATAAAATCACTAACATATTATGAGTCATAAAAATATTTTATCAGTTTCTTATAAAAAATTGAAAGTGACTTTATTACCAAAGAGCGATAAAGGAGTAGATGACCAGGGAGCTTTGCACAGTCATTTGCCCAGTACAACAGTGGCCCAGGCTGAGGTAACAGCCCCTTCGAAATGCATCCTACCAATGTCCTTGAGAACAATACATGTGTTCTTTTGAGAAGAAGCAATTCTTGCTTTCCTATATTTCCATCAGCACTTTCTAGCAATTTCATGCCAGATTAAGGAACCAGGTTATACAAATTACAACCAAACATTTGCTATTATTGACAGAATTCCTCAACCAGAAATACAGAGTAGGATGGATGGATTTCCTCTTTTGAGAAAAAGAGAAAAAAATAAAGTAAAAAAAAGGTCAGCAGGCAGAATAACCTGACCAGGAGTTTACCTTGAGGCCTGAGGAAGCTGAGTTCTCTGATAATCTCCTTGTCACTCTCATGCCAATGCTCACAGGCATATGACTGACCAAGGGGACAAGAATGATGGAGAACACTTGCTAATGAGAAAAACAACTTCAACTAAACGATTCCCCAAGATCTTTAAGGGTGTTTCTGGATAGAAAATATAATTCCTTTCCTGGTTTTGTATTGAGAGGCATAATAAAAACAGGTGAGCAATAATGTTTGGGAAATAAATACTCTTTTACTCTTTCTATTTACATGGCAAAGGACCTACCACTTCAGCAATTCTTTTGTTGTTCCAATAACACACCTGCAGCTCAGTTACCATCATTGTCTCCTGGAACCAGCAGCCTGAGTTTCTGATAACATAGTCATACCATCTAGAAGGTACTCTTCCCTTTAGTACATTTTTCCCTGTGAAACTCTCATGTGTTATCTGTCCTGAGTTATTTGCCCTTTAACAGTATATCTGTTCCCACTGAATCTCCTAGAACCTTTTTTTGATTGCAGTTTGTAGAACATGGAACTTGACTAAAGAAAAATGGTGTCATGGCTACAGAAATACCCTAGTTAATATTTTGTCCAAATTATCTTACTGATCATATCTCAGTCTGTGCTGTACTTTTTTGCTGGATATAATCTTTACTAGTCAGTGAAAAAAGGTTATCTGAGGTGAAACAAGACTAGAGATAGGTGCCAAGCCTGACTCTATCTCAGGCAGTGCTTTCACCTGAACTCACTTCTCAAGTGGAAGGTGTATAGAAACTCAATGTATAGATATTACCCTGTGTTACTATTCTTAAGTTAAGGAAAGAATAAACATATTTTAGCCAACTGAGGAAGGTTTTTTTTAAATTTTTCAGGAGCCATAACAGTAGATTAAGGAAAATATAGTAATAGAGAATAATTGATTTCACTCAGAATTGTACACTTATTAACTCAGCAGTTCCATTTAAGGTTTCAATCAGCCTTCAGCATCATGATAATCATTTTAGTCAAGTATATTAAGCAGCTATATTTCATTAGGTATAAATATAGTGCAAAATAACACACTTGATCAACTATGTAAAATTATACCACTAATGCATGAATATTGATATAACTTAATATAATTGTTTGATTGTCAGAAACTTCAAATATGATCTAGAAGTCCATTGTGACTTCATTTTAAAAATATTATGGTCACCCAAGTGGCACGTTGGTGAAGAGCTGGCTTGGGATGCCAGAGGGCCCCGGTTCAGATCCCATATATGAGGGCCAGTGACACTTCCCTCTATAGCTAAGATGCTGAACAACAGCTCAACCTGGAGCTGGGCTGCCATGAGTTGCCGGCGATGGCGTAGGCTGCAGCCCCTGCTGCAGTGGGTTGCCATGGGCTACCGTGTGTAGCCAGCAGCCAGCGTGAGCAGCCAGCAGCCGCTGTGAGCGGCCATCCAGAAGCCAGCACCTGATCTGCCTCACCCGGGAAGAGCACAATGATGGTGCCAACTTGGGCCAGTGAAGCAATATCCTCCACAACTAGATTGAAGAACAAAACGACAGCAACTTGTCTGTTCCCCTTCCCCAATTCCCCAATAAAAGAATCTTAAAAAAAAAATTAAACATTAACCGACTAACGATACTGAAATTATCTGAATGACTTACTGTCTTAGGTTTTCAATCATTTTCTCCATTGCTTCCTCCCAGCAGTATGCTTTAACAGATTGAATATTTTCAATTATTTCTGAGGTGATCACAAGTCTTTCACTGATCTTTCCAGCTCGCCGATCTCTGTAAATCAATCAATCAACCCATCAATCAAATAATTAGTAAAAAGTCAAATTAACCACTAAGAACTGCTCAAGCTTTTCAGAAAAGCCACATTTCTTTTATTAAACAAATGAATTTTTATTATCAAATAGATGGTAACAAAAATAGTAGCTACCATTTAGTAAATGCCTGTGTGCCAGACACTGATTTAGATGCACTCCATACACTATCCTTAATCCTTATGACAGTCTAGGAGAGGGGGTGATCTCTAATTTAAAGAAGAAAAACCAGAGACTCAGTGGGGTAAAGTGGCTTGACTTAGTCACAATAACTAGTAAGAGTGCAATCTGGGATTCAAGTCAAGAGCTATTTGACTCCAAAATCGGTAAACTTTCTATCATACTTTGGCTGACAAAGTCTAGAAGTCCTCTATCTAAGCAATGAATGGTATCACTGATTCATTCTGTAATTTCAAAATAACTAAGGCTTGAATGTATGAAGATCCATGAACCAGAGTAGGAAAAGCCTATAAGCTCTATCCAAAATGTATGCATTTCCTCCTACTCACTTAAATGGTTTATCCATTGTACCTAAATCTTATGATCTATAAACATGACCTGAATCATAACATATTTATAAAGAAATTCTATAGCTTGACAAACAAAACAGGAAGTAATGATATGGACATATGCACCATTAAAATAATTCCTTTTTAGTGACACTCAATAAGTAGATCACGGTTCAGTGCGTACTGGTTTTACTGGTTTTACCAGAGTGGGCTTTTTGAAAACCCAACATAAAATCCTTTCGAACTGTGTAAACAGAGTGCTACCTGTACTTCATCATCATCCTCCCTAACCCTGCTTGGAACAGGGCGAGGATGATGAGGACAGCGAGCCCACAGAAGGCGGAGGCCTGTAACAGCTCCCACAGCAGCCCCATTAGCAGCGTCACTTGTAAAGGAGCGATCCACACGAAATGTGCCAATGCAAGTCCCTGGAAAACAAAATCACAGTGAAAATTAGTGATGCTGTATCCTCCATCCCCCTAAACAAACAAGCACAGATTAAAGAAATCAAGCACAATGAGCTTATATCATCAAATACTTCCTGGCCCTGAGTACACTGAAATCTAGGTACATGAATGAAATCTTCATTACATAAAGCACCGAGCAACGTGCTTACACATTCTACACGTGGACTAGGGTTTCCCAAGGAACAGATTTCAAATTACTGCATTTTTGAAAATGCTTTTTTTCAATGGAATTGAGATTGGATCTCCTAAGTATCCTGTTAAGAATTTATTTTAAATAACTTCTACTTGGGTAAAGCAAGAGCCATGGTGTAGAACTTGAAAGAACAACAGACTGTCCAGGAGCTCCATCGCTGCAAGGGCACCACTCTGTCTGACAGTAGATTCAGAATAAATGTGTGCTTATCTCAACAGTAATTTATTTAGCACCTGTTGGCGGCTCAATATTATATTAAACACTGGAAATGCAAAGTAAATAAAACAAATTATCTGTCCTCAAGGACCTTGCATTTATTTGTGACTCAAGATGGCACTGACTGTTGCCATGCAGCTGTTTAGCCTTCTGTCCTTCCACGCTTACCCCTAAACTGACCCTTTTGAGGACACTGCTCATACATCTTGGGTCTCCCTGTTTGGCCCCAAAAGATGGCTGGTTAGCCAATGACGGGTAAGATTCCTTGAGGAAGGAATAACCTAAGACAGGCACAGTTGCATGGGGGCCATCAGGAGAAATCTCAAGGCTGATGGAGGTGGGCATAGGTCCTCAGCCGCCCCCAAAGAAACTGGAGGTCTTCTACCTCTGTAGCTACATTCCTTCCTGCAACCTGCTTGGGAAGTGACCTGATGATGTGATAGTATCTGTCCTCAGCATGATAATCTTATCTCCCTGAGATTGTATGCTTATGGGTGTGTGAAAGCAGAGCATTTGTCTGATGGCAGCCGGAGGACTCTTGGTAATAGCAGCTTGCAGGAATGGGTAATCTGACATGTGCAAGTTCTCAGGAATGAGACTCACAGACTGTGGAGAGAACAATGCTACTTCCGGGTATGTGGAGAAATAAAAGCTGCGTGTTGGCCTGATTCGGGGCTCTCAGTCCTGTGAGGCTGGAGACCTTTAGCCCCACTCTCATTTAACTATTGGCTTCTGTTTCTTTTCTTTTTTAACCCTTCACTGNTACCTCTGTAGCTACATTCCTTCCTGCAACCTGCTTGGGAAGTGACCTGATGATGTAATAGTATCTGTCCTCAGCATAATAATCTTATCTCCCGGGGTTGTATGCGTATGGGTGTGTGAAGGCAGAGCATTTGTCTGATCACCACCAACGGACTTTCGGTAGTAGCAGCTTGCAGGCATGGGTAATTTGGCATGTGCAAGTTCTCAGGAATGAGACTCATAGACTGTGGAGAGAACAATGCTACTTCCAGGTATGTGGAGAAATAAAAGCTGCGTGTTGGCCTGATTTGGGGCTCTCAGTCCTGTGAGGCTGGAGACCTTTAGCCCCATTCTCATTTAACTATTGGCTTCTGTTTCTTTTCTTTTTTAACCCTTCACTGCTCCCTCTCGTTCTCTCACTGCCCTTGTCGTGCGGGATGTGACAACTGACCAAGAATTGCTTGGAGTATTCAACCAAAGTAAATATTCAACAACAAAAATTATACTCAACCAAAGTAAATGACTGATTTAAGTATTAAAAGAAAACTTTAAAAATATTTGATAAGGACTGAATATTGAAGAACCTCATTAAATACCCAGCAAGCTGAGGTGCCTTTGAGTTGGATGGTTCCAGGACCCCCTTGCTATACTACTCAGGTTTCTCCATTTTCAGAGATAGGGAAGGCAGGAGTGTGTCCCACGTGACCGCTTCTCACTGCTGTCTGACCCAGGGAAAGCTTTACAGTTGTACAATTTAAAACAACCATGCATAAAAGATTAAATTACTAGGTACATACTTCATCAAATTTGTTCAGGTTGTTGGAAAGGAGACTAACAAGTTGTCCAATACTTATTTTATCTAGAACACGGCTTGACAGCTTCAGAGTCTAAAAGGAAAAAATGGGAAGTTAGATGAAGTTAATGAACAGAACACAGATATATTTATAAGCAACATTATACTACAGCTGAGGAATTAGGTTACTGAGCATGCATTTTTAAGTAAAGATAATGAAAATTATTTTATGTTTACCTAGTTTAGTATCTTCTCAAATTTATAAATATTTCTCTTCATAACAAATATTATACTGTCTTGCCTCTAGTTATTATATTCTCCAGCATCTAGAGAGTAATAACCATTTTTTTCTCCTCCAAAATAGTGTGGAGGGTTTGTGTTTTTTTGTTTTATTTTTATAAAAGATAGAACCAAAGGCAGTGAAATTTGAAATTTAAACCTTAATTTAAGGGCTGGCCGAGTGGCTCAGTTGGTTAAGAGCTCGCTCAAGAGTTTGAGCTCTGAGCAACAGCGGTTTGAGTCCAGCCCGAGCTGAGCAGCCGCTGAGCTGCCAATAGGTAGCAGGATGGCTCAGCTAAAAAAAACAAAAACAAAAAAAACCTTAATTTAAATTTTGCATGCCGTCCTATACTAATTCTATTAAATAAAATTACTGTTAAAGTCAATTAGTACATTATGAATAACTGAGTCATTAATAATTTTGTGAAAGATTATACTAATAATGCAAAATCCTTAAATTTTACAAAGAAATATACATTCATATAGACAAAATAGGATTAATTGCTTAGTAAGTAAATTGATTATGCTTATGAAAGATCAGTCAGACTCACCTATAAAATTTAATAGGAATTGATTTGCCACTAGATCTATGGCTTTGATTGGAGAGTACCTATCTAATATTTGTTTCCACTGAATCCCTCACCTATGTATTGAGCATCTAGTAGATGCAAATCCGTTTATTCAAGCCTTCAGCGATTATTATTAAGATTTATTAAAATGTAATTCTTGCCTCAAGGAAACCTAGTATATACATTACTAAATATCATATGATAAATGAGTTAAAGGGAGTAGAATTTAATTGAGTGGTTAAAAGAAAGTTCACATATCTGGTTACAAAAATCTGGAAAGATTTTATGGAAGAGGTAGAATTTAAGATAGATGTGATATAATGAATAGCATTTAGGTAAGCAGAGATGAAGAAGGACTCAATCACGGCAGTTAATTCCAAAGCACTATTAGAGCAACACGAAGGAGGATACCCATTGAGCTGGATCACACACACATGACTTAGTAACAGATTCAGTCTCAGGTCACTTCAGTGCTCCACAGAGCTCCATGTCAAGCACAGCAAACACTCAGTAAATATTTGTTCATTTTAGTTATCTCTATCTTCTTGAAATTCACAGGCAAAGCTAAATTTAGTTTGTATTTGGATTCATTATTTAAAATATAATTTGAATGTATCATATTTTCAGATTTTGGAACAAAGCAAAATGGCATCCTGTTACAAAATTTGGAACATTGTGGAAAGAATTAGCAGTTGCCTGCCACATGGATGAAACTGGTCAGCTATGGCCCCCATTCACTTTAGGTTTACTTCCTTCCAGGACCACGGCACAGCCATGGGGAGATGCAATTGCATTCTTTGGTGATAAGGTCAATGAAGGCCAATAAGTGTGGCTAGAGAGGTAAAGCCAACTGGGTCAGAACAAATATTCAATAATGAGAAAGAAAGACAGACAGTGTCTTCCAACTTTTCGTTAATGTTTTCTGGGTCTAGAAACACATATATTGCTGTATTGTGCTAAATGTTATATACGCACTTGCTTACAAAGTAACCTGCTCCTTCTAAGCCCAGAGCATTCCATGCCTCTCTCCTGTATAGCAGTTTCTATTACTACATTATTTCAGTACTTATTTTATTTTCCCTATGACTTAGAAAACCCTTCATTCCATGGATTGTGATTTACCCATTTTAGAACTTTTGAACAAGCTTTTGTACCATTTTCTATACTTTTTAGGTCTTAGTTTCTTAAATCTTTTATCCATAGAATAGGGATGATAGTTTCTACCAGAGAGTTTGGGAGAGGCTCAAATGAGACAGTATATTTAAATCACTTAGAAGCTTGTCATGCACATCCTTAGCTATCACTTATCATTAGAATAATAAGCACTTTTACAAATATTTTTAAAACTGGATTCAAATTTCTTTGATATGCTTGCTGTGTAGATTTGACATTCCAAATAGTATCTAATAATTTCTTCACTTATATAGAATTTCTAGATCAAAATAAAATTTTTGTTGATTTATCACCCATGCTTTCCTGCTACTTGTGAACTGATAAGATTGCAGCTGAGGTGATTTAATTAAACTGTGGACTCTGCTTTTTTCTTGTGCCTCCATAAAAGGCTTCTTTGAACAATAAAGTATGGCTATTAAGATTTTACAGCACAACTGACCTTGCATGTACATTATGGAACTGTTATGGGTTATTTGTTAGAGGGAATTTCAGATCCATGGCCCTCATAAGCCAAGTATATAAAGTCTTTACACTGGGAAAAGAAAACAGAAAAGGGTAAAAGAGTATCCAAATGATTCAACTGAAACAGCTTTCTATAATGACTCGGTAGATCTAAGCAGTCACACCTGGTCTTGAATCAGATTGGTGAAAAAAATGATATTGAAATGATCTTAAATTGTGTTTGCAAGGTACCTAAATCTTAAGTTGAATTCACCTAAATCATGCATACACAGAAAACTAAAGAAGGTTCTTACAGTTGCCATGCATTTACTGTTCTAAAATTCTTTAATTTTCAGGGCTCACAGGATGACAAAAACCTTACTCAGGTTAAGACAGTGGATATGTGAATACCACCACTGTGTCACAACTAGTTAGGTGGAAATTCTTATTGCTTGTATTATCATGAACAATTATATACTATATTCTTGTTGTTGAACATAAGGATATATGGCATTTTATCATAAGATGATAGTTTGTCAATGACTTTTATGCAGAAGGTAAGAGTCATTTTAATGGGAAGTCATGGGTTCCAAAAAATGATGGCATGACTAGTGAAAACAAACGAAAATAAAACTATATTACAGGCAGTTTATATTGGGTTGTGGGAAAAGTCATGATGCAGTTTTACAATGAAAAACAGAAAAAATACGTTATGACTTTTCCAACAACCAAATAGAAGGCATTCAATAATTATTAGTTGAAGTGAATTAAGTTACCAAAGAAAATTTGAAACATTAATTAGTGCTGCCATTTATCTCACAGGCTTATGAATTTGATTCCAGCATTTACCCCTCACTTTACCAGCATGGCATTTAAACCATGCTACTACTCCATGTAGCATGGAGACTGTGCAAAAAAGTGTTACCTTCTTATAAATCAAACTGAACATAGCTATCCTCATTTGCATTCCAATGTGATGCAGGCCAAAGATGGCGGGGTGCAGAAGCAGCATCCTCATGATAAAGAGCAGGCATAAGCCTATGCCTAGGTAAATCGCAATGGACCGCTCCACCTTGTTATCTGGATCATAGGAAGCTATGATTCTTCCCAGTAGGAGAGGCTGGACTGCTTTGGTGACTTCCTGTAAAGAGGACAAACAGAGAAATGAAATTGTATTCCCCTTTCATAAAACACCCTCATAATGTCAACACAGGAAATTCCATCTTTAAAGAAGGACTTAAAATGGCCTGCACACAGAGCCATGCCATAGAGGAAATTCTGGACACTGTTTTTAATATCTTTACACTTTGAAATAAGGTTTGATTTTGGGCTGTAGCAAAAGTCACTTGAAGACAAGTATACAAGCACATGGGAGGTTATTTTTGACTAAAAGGTGAATAGTGGCCATAAAGTGAAGGTATGATTTAGTAACATCTACATAGCACTCAACAGTTTATAAAATATTTTTCATTTGATTTTTATGCTTTAGGAGTGAGAGTTGGCATTATTACTATAGCTTTGCAGTTAAAGAAACAGGCCAAAGAGACCAAGTGACTTGACATGATTTCAAAATAGAATTTTCAAAGCATTTTGAACAATGGAATTATTTCCAGAAAGAATATAGCTTCTCAACGCAACCACATAAAGGGGAGCTGGCAACAGGAGGGGGGAGCTGGCAGGCACTGGTGGTATTTCAAGTCAGCCCCTTCTGGCACCATGCCTTTCCCAGCCTGGAACAGGACTTTAGGGCAAAAGGATGCCCACAGATTTGAACTTCACACCAGTTTCCAGTGATTCATCAACTCTTCAAAGGCCTATGAGTTAACAAAGGAGGATCAAAGTTGTGTTTTCCAAATCCACTTCATCAGATCCTCAATCAATTACTAAATGAAATTGTCCATCAAATTCATTACCATTTCTCCTGAATATATCAGAATATAACACAGGGATATGAACCTATGAAGTCAAACTCTTACTCATCTTGCTAAATTGCCTTGAAAAGGGAAAGACACATAGTCTTCTGTTTTGTTTGATGGTGATCTTGTGAAATGGGGATCTGAGGCTAAACACTGCAAGGAAATGATGCTATGCTAATTGTTACACTTCAAACATATATTTTCAAACCAGGCTGTTTCCCCCACCCCCAGTACTGCTCACCATTACTCTCCCTCAGCCCTTAACTTGCTTTTTTCCCCATTTTCTATAATGTCTTCTCTAAACAGTGCTCAAGACCACCAGCCCTCTCCTTCTGAATAGATAAAAATACTTTTTTATATCAACTTCATCTCCATAAGGAATCCTGATCTATATAGAGCTGTCATTGGCTGACCACTGGCTTTGTGTAGCTGCTCAATCTATACTTTATATTCAGTGCTTTATTTCAAATTAAGTGTGTACACCAAGGCTCTGAATATAAGGAAAGATTCAAACTTAAAAAAAGGTTTACAGATTAATCATACATGGCATAATGGAGTTCTCTCATCTCGCATAGCCATATTTTAATAGCTTGAATTATAGCAAACAGTTGCTGAAAAGAAAATTGCTAACCTCCTACACAGATATAATTAATAATTTTCAATATCTGCTGTAGAGCACTTGTTTTTAAAAAAATAAATGAGTGCAGAAATTACTATTTATTGGTATGTATCATTTTATGCATGCTTTGCACTTCTATTACACAAGTATCCACCCTTAGACTATATACAGAATTGTTTTTCAGGTTTTAAATTTAATACAAATGGTATCATATTCTGCTTTTTGCCATCTTATTTTATTTAAGATTGTGTTTTTGACATTTAGCCCCATTGATATTTGTATGTCTGCCTCATTTATTCTAAGTGCTGTTCGACATGACATCCTGTGAGTAAATCAGGTTATTTGTCCCACTGTCCTATGCTGGGGCAGATGATTGTTTCCATTCCTAAACTATTACAGTCTGTGTTAGTGTTGCACTGGCTGTTTTCATCAGTTTCATAGATCCAGGCCAAACTTTCTCTAGATGATTTTATTTCCAAACACATAACTCCTTAAATTAGGAAAATGTACAGTTAAGATAAACCTTGGATTTGAAAGTACATTTGCACTACAAATATAAGTTTTCATAGTGTTTATAGTGGCAATAGTTCATCCTCAAAATTATGTTTATATCAATATTTTATCCTAGAATTTTCTATGTTATGCTGTGCTTCATAGACAAATGTCAATACCGAGTCTACTTGGCTCTTCTTTCCCATAAATAGTGGGTTTGCTAAAGTGCTCTATTGAGTTGCACTCAAGGGCATTGGATTCATATGTGCTCCCTTGTTGGAAGCATTTGTGTGGCCATGAAGCAGAGTGAGGAGCCTTGATGTTTACCATGCATGCAAATAAGACGTCATTTCTCATAAGACAATAACTGGAAGAGTATAAACTGTGACTGCTGCTCATGAATTCAACTGCTTATATTATTAGCATAAACACCTTTCTCCTTTTGCCAGAACTCTCTTTATATATTCTCCTAATAGATAATAGACTATAAAACCATAATAAACACATCACATATGGGTGACAATGGTCAACAAAACTACACAGATTTCAAGTGTACAGCTCTATAACACATCATCTATATATTACATTATGTGCTCAGCACCCCGCATCAGTTCTCCTTCTATCATCATATATTTCACCCCCTTTACGTTCTTCTACTATTGTCCTTCCTCCTTCCCTTTTCCCTTCTGGTAACCACTAAACTGTTGTCTGTGTCTATGAGTTTTTGTTTCTTTATTTGTCTTGTTCTTTTCTTGCCTTCAGTTTTATATCACACCACATCACATACTTCTAAGGAGTTAACCCATTTCTAAGGAATGCTAAAAAGAACATTCTGAGGAAAAAAGAGAACTATTTTAGCAATTGAGCTGTACACAGAATTTTTAGAATTAGAAATCTATAGGTTTACATAAGTTGTTTTCCTGTTGAGTAATTTGAACTAAACTCCCTGCTACTGTATCACCATTATATTATTTTTCATAACCTGTCATCTCTATCACAATAGACCCATTTGCTGAATTGTTATTCAGTTGCAATTTATAATAAAATGAAATGTGTGT